CTTGGAGTATCATATACTAGAATATTTTTCACATCTGACGATTAATGATAACACAGCACGCATTGTTTCTATTACACAGTAATTAGTTTACACCGATTTATCTAAATCAGAATAATTATCTGTTTGATTTATGTTCATAAGCCCCAATATGCTCTCTAGAAACATTTTTCAACTTTAAATGTTTTTCCCCGAACATTTATGACATTTTTGTAACATTGTAAAACATTCGATTTTTGTAGCGAAAGTAAATTTGACAAAATTTGCTAATAAGTTATACATTTTATTTAATTACACTGAAAAGTAAAGTATTTACTTTTAGTTAAAACGTACTAATAACTATCTTTAAGAAGTATATTTGGGCTTCAGCTGCTTTAATAATCCTATTTGTGCTAGTCTATAGCACCTTAGATATATTATTAACTCTGGTATCAGCTGTTTTTTGTAAGCGCAATTACGTCTTAAAACAGCTTCACAACAACTTGATTGACATATAATGCATTAGATTACCTCGTCAATTACTTTAATTAGATCTAAATGCAGTTCTTCCTGTTTGATTCATGGGAGATAGATAAATTGTCATCATAAATCTAAAGTTTTGTATTTTGAATGCATACACAGCGATATTTACTTCATGTGAAAATTTAGGAGTTACAAAACGAATTGAAAGAAAAGAAATATGAAAGATTTCCCCGTTACATATTTCTGTTTTGGTAACATTAAACAGTAATAGATTTCATTGAAAATGAATACTAACATTTATTAATTCTGAAATTCTACTCAAAATTGTGTACAATATTGGTAGATAGTTATAGTAATACAGCATGACATGACTTTTCAGTCCTTTGATACAACACTATAAAAGCATCATCTGCCTGTATTGTTGCACAAATCTAAGTTATTTAACAAAATATGATACTTTACCGTGAAGTAAAATTTACAGCAACAAAAGGTTACTAACAACTGTCACAGGCACCGTGTACTAAATCAAAACGTAATGGCATAGATTCAAAGGACAAAGACAATTTTTGGTCATAAAAACAGCTACTCATCTGTCATCAAAGTCAGTGTTCTCATTAAAAGCAATTATTCTGATGTTTGTTCTTTGTAATTATAAGAAATAGAGTTATTATCGTATTGTCTTTCGTTCTGTATAAACATTTATCAAGAAAATCGGTCTATTATAAATTGATTTTTGAAGAAACAAGTGTAATTATCTTGTCATTGTTCTATTAATTATGTTAATTATCGAAAATAGCTACTTTATATGAACGTTATATCAACAGAGTCCTGGAGACATCAGGTCTAAATTGTAAAGAAATAAAACATAATATGTATTTTTTTTTCTTGGGTTTCACTGTTATTTACAGTCTCTAATAGCTTTTTTAAAGATATGTTTCCATTTTGGTTTTACATTTGCTATTCGATACAGTTTTAACTACAGTAAGTAAGTCAATCTTTTTGTTTTGCTGTCATTTGTTTTTACACTAACATAGATCACGTAATATATATATCCTTCCAAAAAGGTCTATTTATTATATACATGTACTTATACATGAAATATTGTGAAATATTGATGAAATGAAATGCGTATTTTCATTTTCCGTATTTTCACAGTAATAATTTAATTTTTCACTGCAGTGAAACATATTTTCTGTACTGATAAATAGTAAGCTGACTTACCAAGATAATGTTTTACGGTTCCTTTGAAATACTGCAATCCCTTAACAACGGAAATACGTCCGGTAAGCTCAATATGTAGAGCATTGGACTGTGAATCGGGCCACCCGGGCTCGATTCCCGGACTGTGCATGTCACTTTCGTTTTGATTTATCGTAAAATATTTTATACGGTCATTCGCACTGTACCTCTGCTCTGATATGTAGTAGCAATTTTTTAAACTGTCGAAATCGTATATTATGCATAGGTTAGTTCATGTTTGCGTTTGACTACGCCTGTAGTCACGAGGGTGGATACCAGTGATAACCAGTAAAACAGGCGTTTTGCACACAAAATCAAATTTAAAAACCGTGCTATTGTATCTGCGGCATATATTTTTATTTTTACTATAAGTATACTGCTGTTATTTATCCGCTTGTCACACTATGCTGTGTCTATATTTCAGGACTGGCCAAAAGTACGCACATGCACGCCACGTACAGAAATTAAATTGGAACCGAATCTTTTATCCGTGGCAGATCTTAATAACTGGTTTGGCAGATTTGAAGTTTGATTTGTAATTTCTTATTGTCTTATCTTCAGTATTTCAATTATGTTTTGAATGTTAAGGCAACAAATACTATTATTGCCCATACTACTTTCTATAAATATCAATTTCTTATTTACAACTGTTTAATTGAACCACAGAAATCCTGTGCATGCGCAACATTTGATGAAATGAACTGTTGACCGGTCAAGATTTTTAATTATTACCTAATGCCTCCTATAATTACTAATTCCTTATTTAAAACTGTTTAGTTGAACCGCTGAAGTCTCTGCATGCGCATGTGCGTTCGGCCTCTTGCAACAGTCCTAAATGTCATCCCTGATACCTCGGGGAAACATTTTTGACTCATGAAATAACTGTATACTGTTACACCCCTATCGACTTCATCGTGTATTTCCGTTAAAGCAGCACGCCTTCAGATTCATGCTAATTTTCATGAAAATTTTAAAAATGTGTTTAAAAGTTAGATATTGTGAAGTGAACAAGGAAAATAATTTACAGTTTCAAAACAGCACTTGCAATCCACGTAAATTAACAAAAGGATGTTGAAATAAGCAAAAATATCCCATACTACGTTAGTAACGCAGTAGAGATATGGTGATAAATACTGCAAAATCAGTCTTCAATCGCATATAACATAAAGATTATTACTTGAATCTTAAATCGTTTTACTTTTCGTAAAATCTTAGTATATTTTTCTCATGTTTAATTTTCTTGAAATATTTTGGCTATTCTGGAGGCATGCAGCTTTAACGCCACCTGCCACTATTCGGTTTTCGAACATCGATAAGCTCAATGTCTGGTATTGGTTCGTCTGTAGGATTCAGTTGTAAACTATTCCTTCCCTACTCTGAATAAATTTCATTTGTCAAGTAAAAATATTAGAAAAATAAGAAATATTTCAAAATTTACTTCATTTGCAATGAAATTAAGAGCAGAATTGCTTGCAAATAAACCAGATATTAAAAACAGATATAGAATTATCTGTTTAATTACTTTCAAATAATAGATCTATAAATATTATTAAAATGATCGTTCGATGTGTATATGTTTTTGTGTGTTATATTCGAAATTCAAAATTCAAATTGTTTTGTTTTTTATTTCCCCATTTCAAACCTTGAATTCGGTTGAATGCTCTGCTGTAAGAGTGTAAGGATTTTGTCAGTGATAAAACTTTAGTGTACAATGTTGAAATTATCCAAATAATACAATAGCTTTAAAGACTGTCTTTAAAATATCTATTCAACCTAAGACCTGTTTCATATTTTGTCGTCGTTTTTACCCATTCATTTATACTAATTGCAAATGCATTACTATGGCCATTAAAATAGTATTTTAATGTCATTCGCTTAAACGTAACGTAAAACAAAATGTCCCATAGGCTCCTATAAAAATTATTTTCTTTCACAAGATTTGAGATAAAGGTTATGTGTAAGTAACGAGTGTTAAATTAATTACTATTTCTAATTGTAAGTTGTTACAGCCATAGTTTTGTAGCCAGTAATTTGTACATAATACATGAGTTAAAATACACCAAAACAACACATATTTTTTTAAAAATCTTTACTAGTTTCGACTGTTGTCTTCATCAGAATAACGTACAAAATATATGACGTCACGTCCGTTAGGACGCCAACGTCAACGTGACAAAATTGCGCAAAAACGTGAATGTAAAGTAATTAACAAAATAATACATAATACATGTACATTTCTCTCTCAAATGGATAATAAAGTCGCTGCTCAAGCTATAGTGGTTTATTTACAGAAATAATAATCAGACTGTATCTTTACATAAATAAATAGAAAACTTTATGCGAAGTGGAACTTAAAGGACGCGTGCCTGTGCGAAACGTTGTTCATGTTTACGTTTTGTTGCATTAATTTGTATACACGTATACACTTGATCTAACGTTCGCAGATATTTAACATGGAATACAAGGTATGAATAACAGGGACGCAACAGATATAAATCGGATAATGTATGGAAGTTTGTATTCTAAACACCATATTTCAGGGGTGCCCTTTGGTACCGCAATTTTAAATATTTCCGCGTGAATAAATTTGTAAGAATAAAAAGGACTTCGTTTTACTGACTTATTTTACTAGTATTGACTCCTGTATCATTATTTACAACACAGGTATCCACCGAAGTAAAGTCAAAGATAAAAGAAATTAATTTTAGATCATTCTTTTCCATGTTTATATAAGAATGGGCAACGTCTGCAAATTAGCGTATGGTACCGGCCGTATAATCATTATCTGCAAACCTTGGTGCCAATTGACTATTTTCGCTTTTCTGTATAGTCTGTGTATAAATCGTTCAATTTTTGCAGTAAAAAGGAGAATTATGATTAATATATGACAAAAATGAAATACAAATTCAACTGTTTGCGCTGTCTGCTGCTAAAAATAAATATTAAGATAAGAATAGCCATGGTAAGATAATATTAAAATAAGTTAATGTAAGATTAATATTAAGATAATATAAGATAAGATTGATTTCAACAATGCAACATTATGAACATATACTGTAGGCTCTTAGGAGTGCATATGTAACATAAAGTAAAAATCAACAATGGTTAAAGCAGCTGCATAAAGAATATATTATAACAAAATATATGATAACAGTCACCATTCAGCTAATTTAACAAAAATATTTAAATTATTTAGTGGTGTTTAAACGATGTCATTCGCAATCTCATTCAAATCCCAATGTATCATTTCTTATGCGCACCGGCAAATTACTGGTACCATCAATCAATGGGACAGACATTTTAAGTGCACGAAGCCAGAAACCATGTGATTTGTTTACAAATGGCGGCCAAGGAACAGGACCCAGTTATTTCTGAGTTAAATCAACCTTATTTAGACGGCGGACATGAAACGTCTTATATTTTTGTCCGCGGTTTAGGTTCAGGGGCTTTTGCAGAAGCAAATCTTTACAGGAAGATTGAAGTACGAATAATTTGTGTATTTTTTCAGTTTGTGTCTTAAACCATGTCCATGGCCCAAGATTTTTTTAACTTTTTTTGGCCTATGAACGGGGAAGTCGTTAAAAAATTCCTTTCATTCTTTCCGTTTTAAAGGTGTCATTCGGTAATATGAAATTAGGTGCTACCTATGGCGCGGAAAGCTCTTATGAATTATGATTTTAGCATAACATATTTAGTGTACTTGTAAACCAGATCTTTTTTGAATAAACAAAACGTATAAATTGGTGGTGTTCAACCTATCACCGGAAACGCTCGGCCTATTCCGAAAAACTCCGGACCTCTGCGCATGCGTCGGCGTTTGGAAAATCCCGTCCGCCATTTTTGTTAATCTCTAATCACAGTTGTTGTTTTTACGTTATTTTTAATGTGCTAATTTATCAAAAAGGATATGTTTGAATAACTTTTTATATTTATAGTCGTTACTATAATTCTTATCAATGAAATGCAGGTTTATTTTCTGATTTTGTACATCATTCTTTCACCGGAAGTGTCAAACTCCTCACACTGATTACCTCCCTTGGCATAATTGTAATCACTGCCTTCACAGACGTCACATGATGATGAAAGTCACATGACGTAACGTCGAAATTCAAATGTAAATATCGACCGTTACATAGAAAATCTAACGTCATTTTTCTCTTTCTGTTTTATTTTTAACTTTTTGTACCTACGTCCGTTATATTTTAACAAAAAATTATCAAAAGTACACAAAATACTGAAAAATAAATTAAAAAGCTAAAAAATATAAATATCCTAATTTGGATATTTCAATGTTTGTGATGGCAGAGATCTCTGTACTGATAAGGGGAGATCACTGCGTAGGAGATTGCGGAAGTGTTACTAAGCATGCGTCTGCAATAGTCTGAATTATGTAGACGCTCATTAAAAGCGTTCAAAAGGATTTCAAAATGGCGGCGCCCAGTTAACTAAGGATTTCTTCGCAGCCCATTAGGTATAGGATATATATTTTTTTGAAATTTTCATATAGTTTGAATTTGATTTCCTTTAAACTGATACGCGTCATACATGTTATCTAAGAGCGCTACAGCCCTCGCGGGGCCTTCGGCCCCGCTCGGACTTTCCGCGTATTACATGCACCGCTTCCGTTTTCACTCGGAACACTCAACGATTAATATGAAAAAGGCAAAGCCTCAAAGCGAGCTCGATGTTTGAAATAGTATGAAATAATCTCAAATGCAGTGACTAGTGCGTGTGACGTCACACGTACTGTGTTAAATATGGCCCCATCCCTGTCGTGAAATAAATAACGAGATAAAACTTTGTTTATTTTATTTCACTCTATAATTTTTCAAGCGAAATAAAGATTATTTTAAGTGAAATAAATGTAAAACTTAAAACATTTGCGACATTAAAATAGCGTACTTGATTTGTTTGTTTTGCACGTGCTGTTTGGCGCTACATTGTGACGTCACGTAAACAATACTTTAAACGTCTGTACAGCGTTAATGCCTGAATAAAAGATATTGGTGTTCGGATTTATTTTCTTAGTTAGACCATTTTCTTTCATTCTAGATAGTTTTCACAACAAAATTCGACAAAAAAATTTTTTTTTTTATCAGATTTCAAACAAAATGGCGCTTTTTCATTTTTTATACACAGCTTCCATTATTCTGGTTCCCTGTCCAATTATGGCTCTCATAGACGTGCGCGGGTGACCAGTCTACACATCCGTTTTACCGTTATCTTTAAATTCGAAAGGTTGCGATGTGTCCAATTTGGTACTTAGGACGAAAGTTTTCAAAACCATCACTTAGCAGGTACTTGCGTTACCGTAAAGCTCGCTTTGCGAGAAGGCCCTTCGGGCCAGCTCGTCGAGCTCGCTATTATTTATCCGAAAAGATTTGTTCCGTTATCGGAATACCCCGCCTATAATCATTGAGTTATATTGTAAATGGCGGCGCCCGACTAGAACTGACACTGAAATTTCATTGATAGGTATAGAATTCTATATATTTTTTTAATTGTTTTTATTTGATTTTCTTTTAAATATACACATGTAGTCTATAGCCAGGCAAGCCAAAGCCCGGACCCGCTTCGCGGGCCCGGTGTTTGACTTCCCTGTATCAAAAAGGCAAAGCCTCAAAGCGAGCTCGATTTTCTTTTACCGTAAAATAGTTTAAAATAATTGTTCATTTTTATTTGGAATTTTCGGTTTTAAAATTGTCATTTGGTATTTTATTCACTGCTTCCATTTATTCTGGTTCCTCCTTTCTATTACGGTTCCTATATAAGTGTGGAGGACACCAGTCTATGCTTCCGTTTTCAATCAGAGTACATCGGCTTTCATCGTTGTATTGTAATTCGAAAAGTTGCTATGTGTCCAATTCGGTACTTCGAACGAAAGTTTTCAAAACCATCACTTAGCACCAGGTACTCGCTTATATGAAATTAGGTGCTACCTATGGCGCGGAAAGCTCTTATGAATTATTTTCAAAACCATCACTATCCAGCAGGTACTCGCGTTACCGTAAAGCTCCCTTTGCGAGCAGGCCCTTTGGGCCAGCTCTTCGAGCCTGCTACTAAATGAATTTTTGACATTTTAATAGTGAGCTTGAAGAGTAGGCCCGGTCTGCTCGCAAAGTGAGCATTACGAAACATAAGTATCTTCAAAAGTGATGGTTTTGAAAATTTTTGCTAGAAGTACGTCAAAATCATTTGATATATGAAATTAGGCAAAGCCTATGAACGGGGAATTCGGTAAAGAAATTGTTCATCTTTCCATTTTTAAGATGTCATTCAGTATTTCATGCACCGCTTCCTGATCCGTTTTTACTCGGAATAGTCGATGATTAATCAGAAAAGTTGCCATTGTCCAGTGACTTTTTTCACTGAATTGGGAAGAGGCCTTAGCCACTTGATTTGGGAAAAATCATCGCTAAAATGGCTAATTTTGGAAGTAAAAAAGCAGGTTTAAGTTCACATGTTTGGGAAAACTGCATGAATTTAAAGAAAATTTCAATTGGGAAGAGGCCTTTTATCGGAGTCTGTCATATAACCAGAAAAATCACTGTTGTCTTTATCGGAATACCCTGTCAATTATCATTCAGCTACATTGAAAATGGCAGCGCCCAACTAGAACTAACACTGAAAATTTCATTGATAGGTATAGAATTCTATATATTCTTTTATTGTTTTTTATTTGACTTTCTTTTAAATATACACGCATAGTCTATAGCAGGGCAAGCCAAAGCTTCGCGGTCCTGGCCTTTGACTTTCCCATAATAAGTTTGCCTGCTTTTCATTGGAGGTTATTTTGGTTCCTTGTCCTTTTCTTGTTTGGGCACACAGGGAATCATTACCAGCAGGTAACTTTCACTATACTTATGCTAGCTGGATAGCTTCCTAACATAAAAGAATCCAGAGTCCCTGAAGGGATTCAAACCAAAGCTTTGAGTGGCAAGTGGTTTAAAGTCATCAACTTTAACAACACTCAGCCACAGACACCTCCATCTGGGACATAAATATTTATACTGAGTCCCAGGTAACATTTAGGTCAATCTGCCACATTAAATATAGATGTTGCTATGAGGTTTTTTTTTGTGTACATTGTGTGTATGTGTATGGTATCTTTTATAGGACAACAGCCTGGTGGTATGGAAGGAAATCAACATGGCAAGGCTAGGAGAGAAGGAGAAAAGAGATGCTGTTAATGAGATAGACATTCTCTCCCTACTTAATCATGCAAATGTTATAACTTATTATAATCACTTCCTTGATGGTGAAACATTACTCATTGAACTTGAGTATGCAAATGGTAAAGTATACTTTATTTCAATTAGGTATCTTACCTTTCTATGAACTCAAGAACATTGTGTTAAATTATTTGTTTATTTCTTATAATATTCAGACAAAGAGTCATGTGTTTATTTATTTAGTGCTATTTCATTCTCTTTTTTAAACTAATAATATTTTATGTAAAGAACTCTGATGCATTTTCTGAAACTTATATATGTTGTACATTTGTTATAATTTAATTTTCATCATATTCAATATGTTTATTGTAGGTGGTACATTGGCTCAAAAAATTGATAAACAGAATGAACTATTTCAAGAAGATGTGAGTTGATTTTGCTTTCACAGTGATGTTTATTAAAAATGTATCTTGAATCCTCAACTACTGTATCATTAGTCCTGTCCTAAAAGATTTAACCTTTTGATTCCAGTCGTCATTTTAAGCATTCTACAGGGTGTGCTTGAACCTGTTTATAGTTATTCACAACAACAAGGGGGTTCCATTGTCATGCTACCATGTGTTACAATAAACTTAAAACTTGTTTCCCACAGGGAAAGAATACCCTTTGAATGTCAAAGATCTATTTTTCAGGGGTTTTAGTGTAAAAGAATAAACCTGTAAGTGATAGTTCAAATGATAACAAATCCCAAGAATTTTCTTTGTCTAGGGTAAGGAGAAAATATATTTGAAATGTACTTAATATATCATGTGCTAAGTATTTTTAAATCTATCTTTTCAAATCAACGACACACAGGTATGAATGTGCATGTAAGTCTTTCACTACTTTCTTAGCTTGAGAACTAGTATATGTCTGAAAAAAGAGATTGTTCTACCTTTTCGTAATATAGGTTGTGGTTGGTAAATCAGATTACATCAGGTACATACACTCTATGATGCTTCCTTTCTTCTGGAATACTGAATGATGTAAATTTCACAGTCATGTTAACATAATTGTGTAATAATTGAAAAATTTAGGTTAAAAGGAAATCAAAGTGCCAAAAAGTACTTGAACATATTTTATCAAATGGTCTTACATTTATTTACTATAAGTATGATTTGTGCATGAATATTTCAGATGGTGAAATGGTATTTGTTCCAGCTGACATCTGCTTTAGCTCATTGTCATGAGCATGGTATCATCCACAGGTAGGAGAAAATATAAAACTAATGACATTATAACTTTGTTATGTTATAGTTGTTTTAAAAAATATACAGTAGTGCAGCTTTATATTGTGCCATCATTTTTAGCTCGACTATTCGAAGAATATGAGAGCTATTGTAGTCGCCCCGGCGTCGGCGTCAGCATCCGCGTCGGCGTCTGCGTTGGTTAAAGTTTTTTGTAAAGTCAAATATCTCAATTATTACTTGAGATATTCAATTGAAACTTACAATACTTATTTATAGTAACAAGGTACATCAGATTGACAAGTTGGATAACTCTGCCTACAATATTGACAGAATTATGCCCCTTTTTAACTTAGAAATTTTGGTTAAAGTTTTTTGTAAAGTCAAATATCTCAATTATTGCTTGAGATATTCAATTGAAACTTACAATACTTATTTATAGTAACAAGGTACATCAGATTGACAAGTTGGATAACTCTGCCTTCAATATTGACAGAATTATGCCCCTTTTTAACTTAGAAATTTTGGTTAAAGTTTTTTGTAATGTCAAATATCTCAATTATTGCTTTAGATATTCAATTGAAACTTACAATACTTATTTATAGTAAAAAGGTTCATCAGATTGACAAGTTGGATAACTCTGCCAACAATATTGACAGAATTATGCCCCTTTGGAACTTAGAAATTTTGGTTAAAGTTTTTTTTGTAAAGTCAAATATCTCAATTATTGCTTGAGATATTCAATTGAAATTTAAAATACTTTTTTATAGTAACAATGTACATCAGTTTGCAAAATTGCATAACTCTGCCTGCAATATTTGCAGAATTATTTGCCCCTTTGAAACTTAGAAATTTTGGTTAAAGGTTAAAGGTCTTCAAAGATATTTACTTGAAACTTAACCCATGCACTTAGAGTCATAATTGGAGGGTCATAATTGTATGTCACTGACCAAGTTCCATAACTGTATTGCATTAAGGCTGATTCATTTCCCCTTTTCTACTTAGTCTCTTGGTTAATGTTTACATGCAAGTTTTATATATCTCAATAACTATTAAAGATATTAATTTAAAACTTCACATTTGCATTTATGGTCATAATTGTAGGTCCCTGACAAAGACCCATAATTCTATCTTGCACTTAGGCTGATTTTTCTCCCCTTTTTCAACTTAGAAATTCATGGTAAAGTTTTGCTTGTAAGCTGTTATCTCAATAACTACTGAAGGGTTTGTGCCTTTTTTGGGACAATTTTATGCATTCATAATTATTAAGCAGTGATTTACTTGATAAAACATCTTAATAACAAGCCTTTGTACCTTTTCTGTCAAATTATGTATTCATAGGTAATTAGTATTATTATACACCCTTGTGACATTACCCTCCGAATAGTCAAGCCAATACTGTATAATAAGACTCTTTCTAAGGCCTATAACGTGAATTTATAAAAAAAAATGAGCCCTTTTGTGAACTTAAAAAATTTAACATTATCAAGGCTCTTTTACTATCAAGCACTTAGAATAGTCGAGCATGCTGTCCTACTGACAGCTCTTGTTTTTATTATATATCTCCTTTAAATCACAATGATGTTTAATTAACAACAACTACAATACTGTGTTGCCCTTAAAGTTTTAACAACATTCTTGATTCCCAGAATAAAATTGTTTCAAGAATTTCAGAGGTGTGCCTGGAAAAGATTACAATGTATGTAAGAGATTTTTTAAATGACATCATTGATATGCTTTAGTGTTTAAATGAAAGTATTTTGAATTGTGAATTTTTCCACATGGTCTTATGATAAATGTACACAAAGCAATATTTTGTTTTGAAATGATATTTGTCTTTTATTACTTAAACTGTCTTATTATCATTGACATGGTAAACAAAAAGACATATCATGTTTTGCATTTAGTATGTATATATAAAACAACTTAATACCATTAATCTTGGTTAGTCATTTTATCATTCACTTGTTTATTTACGCAGTAAAATAGTGAAGTAAAGTAAAGTATTTTATGAGGCTAGCACATTCGGTTTTCCCATCTTCCATGAGGGCCTTAGACTATGACTGTCCTGTTGTAATACTCATAATGGCTAGAAGATATTACATATTATATTGTATACTTATTTTTCAGAGATGTAAAGTGTTTAAACATCTTCATGACGAAGACAGACCTTTTAAAGTTAGGAGATTTTGGTATATCAAAAGTTCTCGAGTCAACATCAGAAATGGCCCAGACTGTAGGTATTTTCTGTACAGTGTGTAGACTTTAAACTTACACGGAATGGTTTATGTAAACTTACATTCTTTATTCATGATTTAATGTATTTGTTTCAGCAAGTTTTTATATTCTCAGCATTTTGAGAGGTTGAAGAGATTGACATATTGAAAGCTTGATGGAAAAAACAACAGATGAAAATAAAAACAAAAAATATATTTTTATTAAAAAGCACATTCATAAGAAACTTTAGTCACTTTTAAATAAAGTCTGATTTCAAATTTTCTCCCCAATTTTCTTAGTTGATGAAGTTACTTTGTTCTAAATTTCCTGTCCAATTTAGTCGCTTCACCACTCTAAAAAAAAAAAACCTCTTATAATGTTTGTGTAGATATAATGTACATGATACATGTATAATCAAATGATAATTTGATAATTTACAGTAAGAATAATCCTAATGCAAAACAATCTGGGCATATTTTTGATATACATGTATATAATTTAAGGTTGATTTATTTCAGGTACTTGGTACACCTTTGTATATGTCACCTGAAATAATGAAGGGAGCAAAGTAAGTTGGTTATAAAGAAAATCATATTTTCTTAACTTTAGCAATACCATGTACATGTATGAAATGTCATTATACAATATGCATCCCATGTTTACACAATGAGCTAAAGCTTTTTTTTTTCCATTATCCCTTAATTTACTGAGTTTGTGTAAAACTGAAACAGCCAATATTTTATCAAAATACAAAATTAGAACTACCAACAGTATGGAGTTTGGTTTTAATACTGGTGGCAAATGCTATTCTCTTCAAGCAGGTTAATAGTTAGATACCAACACACAATTCTAATTTGCCATTTTTAATGATATTTTTTCTTCAGTATTTTTGTCTACATGCCATAACAAAAAAATTGTATTTATAAATTGATCCAAGTAAGGTGCCATGTAAAAAATCATTAGTTTTAAATATTCATGTATCTTGAGAAGACAAAATTGTTTTATTACAAAGTATTATTTGATTTACAGGTATGACTATAAAACAGATATGTGGGCCCTTGGTTGTGTATTATATGAACTTCTAACACTGACTAGAACTTTCCAAGGAACTGTAAGTCTAACTTTTGACTGCAGATGTTCAGTTTTACGCGACAGCTGTAAAAACTTGTCCAGTATTGCATCCCATAGTTCATATATTTTTCTGGCGTCAGATTTCTCATTTTATTGCAAAAGTTAAATGTTTTACTCAATTTTTAGTTATATTTAATGTTAAAGATATATGATGACTTGGGATAATGCTTGAGATATCATTTAGGATAATTAAAATTTAACCTTACATAGTACATATTTAATATGAGATAATTATCTAGGAAAAAATAGGTCTAGACTAGTTGCCATTTATAAGTATTCAAATAAAATTCAGTTTGTGTGTTAATATATATAGATAATTATGCATTTATTTGTTTTCCTATAGAATCATCTACGGCTTGCATATGAGATAGTATGTGGTGAACATGGTAGTGTGGATGGCAGATATTCTAAGGCTATTAGGGATCTAGTTGATAAATTACTGCAGAAGGTTAGACAAATTTCCTGTAATAATGATTATAATACCATCTTTACTCAAGTTTCAGTGACTTACTTTATTGTTTGACCCAATTAGCACTGCCACCCCCCCACCCACCCTCCACTCACACAGACACCAGTAGAAGAAAAAATCTTCGTATTCCATAATGAAAGAGCAATCCAATAAAAATCCAAATATTTTATTTAAAAAATAACAACTAATGACACTCCAGTAATTTAAAATCATTAAAAAGATCTTTAATCGATAATCTTAAAGCCACATTTTATAGTTTTAATAAGCCCCCACCCCACCCCCATAAAAATGCAATTCCATGGGGGCATTTAATGGAAACAATAAGGTATATGATTTAAATATTGACAGATATATGTTATTAACTGAGAACTATAAATTTATAAATTCTGTATTAAGTTAATAATAAAAGTTGACTAATTACACTTACATTATTATCACGCCCACTACACACATTATGTAATTCTTCTTATTCAATATTCTGAAAAGGTTCTTTTTAGTATTACTTCCATTCATTTACTTTTTGTTCTTAAAAAAACTGTTCAAGGAATTCCTTTTAAAGTTTATGTTTTCTTATGTAATCATGATTTATAAGCTTATATATTCAGCTTATGTTAACAAAGTTACATGTTTATATGCCTATGCTTCTTGTTGGAGCTTAAAAAAATCATTAACCATGATTCATATCAATTATATAGGTACTAAACCAAAAAGTACATGTCATTGATTTTGAATGTCTTGTGTCGCACACCACTGATGATTCTAATTACACCTGCAGGAGTACAAGCTTGTATACCTTAAGTCAGTGACAGAAGTCAGACATAGTGAACCTTCCTCCAAAATTAAAAGCTGAACAGTGTCAGGTTTTAAGTGCCTCTGAGTGTATAATACATTGCATATAATACATTACATATAATACATTACATATAATACATTACATATAATACATTACATATAATACATCACATATAATACATTACATATAATACATTACATATAATACATCACATATGATACATCACATATGATACATCACATATAATACATTACATATAATACATTACATATAATACATTACAGGATCCTGCAGACAGACCTTCAGCACTGGAAGTTATAGAAAGTGAAGTCCTCAGTAATAGAAGGTATTCCTTGATAATTATATATACCACATGATTTACACAATAATATTAAAACATACATTATATCAGAGTACTTATAAATTATAGCAGTGTAATTGAAAAACATTTTTTATTATGTAAAATTGTAATGATATCTAAAAAAATGTGTTGTTTTTAACCATTTTTTTTTTCATGTATTTCAACATATTTCTGTTTTATAAAAATAAAACTTTTAAAGTTATATAAGATATATGCTCATGATTTAAAAAATAAATATCTTGATCCTGTCTTTGTGTACTAATTAGTTTTATTTAATTATTTTAGTGTTTTAGAAAAGCGTGTTTATGAATTAAACACAGGAGCTAGGAGAGCCAGGATCCAGACATCTGTATCTGTAACAGAACAAACAGTGGTACCAGTAGTCAAATCAAAGGTCACAGAGGTCAGTGATTACAACAACACTTTTCTAAATGTTAACATATATGTTCAATAAATTTAATGAGAACTTTAGATTTTCCCAATTTTGAAGACAAAGAAAACCTGTTGGTTTGTTTCAATGAAAGTTCAAATTATTTTTGATTAAAGATCAGAAGTTGGTAAGTATTAATTCAAGTTCATGTGTAACAAGTCAAGTGTAAATATGTTACGAATGTTACGATATTGATAAAATGTTATTTTTAAGATGTTTGTTAATTCTCAGGTGTTCCAGTGGGGTGGTGGTAAGGTGGTACCACAGAAGCAGGACATGTTTATAAAGGGCAGGAGTGCTGCACAGGTATCAGCTGGTCATAGTCATTTTGCTGTGGTTACCATGGAGAAAGAAGTGTACACATGGGCAGTAAGTGAATATATAATAGTGGGAAAAAAGTAAACTTTTTTGTTTTAATTCAAAATATACTGTTTAAGAATGCCTGTTGAATTTTTTCAATACTCTTGTTATGCCAGACATATTGCAAGACATATTTTAAGATTATAAGTAACTTAATCTTTGCAAATAATTATCAATTATCTAGTAATATTTCACAAGATATATTGTAGCAAAGAGGTATTTGATATTTTTATTTCAATCCTTTAATATGTAAACTTTTTTGTTCTGTATTACTTAAAGAACTGTGATACATTTTAACAATGTCTATTCTCAACAAATTTTATTTTAGAAATAGAGATTAAGCACAGATTTTTCTAATAGTTTCATTGCTATTCGTGTATAAATTATTTTAATTAGCAAATTACCTTGATGTATTATTTTTTATATCATGATTAATAATTTAGCTTCACATAATACCATAAATGAATAATAAAAAGGAAGGCAAACATGTATCTTTAATATAATCTTGTACATTAAGTCATATAGACATCTGTCCCTTTATCACTGATCTCAAATCATTGGGATAAGACCAGGCAGCCACTTGCAGAAAAAATAAGTAATTTAGACTGGTGAGTAATCTAAGAAAGCCAACAAGGTGGTCTGACTGCCCAGGTAAGACCAAAAAAATATGTGTAAAAATCTGGGTAAAACCAATCAAAGAAGCATATCATATTAGGACAAAGGTGCAGAAATGTTGTTTTTATGTAGAATTTACAAGGAGGTGATAAGATAGTTGGTCAGCTTGGACATGGTAACACAGCAGCATATAAAACACCAAAGAAGGTTGATGCTTTTGAGGGAGTGGGAATTATACAGGCTGAATGTGGCGAGGATTTTACTATCTGTGTCTCAGGTAAATATTAGTTCAGTATATTGTCATGAAAACATATGTACTCAAGCATGACATTAACATAAAAAGTTAACTTGTGGCTGACTTCTTTATTCTTTAATTCATCAAGGCATGGATATTTTATTGTTTTAGTCTTTAAATGAAATCAGAATAAATACTATAAGATTGTTGAACTATTTTTTACTATGTATATGCTATACCTGACTCATTACGATTGTTATCATTGTACAGATGAAGGTCAAGTATACAGTTTTGGTTCAGATTTCTACGGTTGTCTTGGTTGTGATAACGAGGAAGGTGACGAGGTTACCTCCCCTGTTTGTGTTAATGTGTTCATGAGTTGTCCGGTACAAGAGGTGTCATGTGGGGATAATCATGTTGTAGCTCTAACTAAAGATGGTGATGTCTACACATGGGGATGTGGAGAATTTGGTAAAAATTTTTATTAAAAATATAATTTTAAATATAATACATGTACAACAATAAATACATTGTTTTGTTTTTGATCATATTTGTTTATTTAATACTGTAAGAGATGATAGAAACGTTTAAATACATGGAATTGGCAAAGTTTTTTTGGTTAATAATTCCTACCTTACGTTTAAATGCATTGTACTGATTTTGATATTATTATGTTGATCATAAATATGTTCTATAAAATTAACAATATCATACCACCATTAATATGAGTGTTGTATATAATTTAATGTAATTCTTCAAAAGTGAAATCTTCTGTTTTAAAAATTGAAGCAACTTTTCTAAAGTGCTGTATCATAAATGGAAATTAGTAATTGCACAACATAGGAAAAAAAATGGCAATAAACTTACTTTATGCAAAATTGAATTTTAGATATATAACAATGTTGCATTTTAGATATAAAAATAAATCGATTACAAAAATGTGAACTATGTTACCTTTAAACGGCTATGAACTCATTTACATGTATGGTGAGTTTTAACAACAATTACTTTTATTAATATCAGATTACAAACATGTAATTACATGACTCATTTTGTTTTCTATAATGTATATCTTATTTGATTCAATATTTCAGGTAGATTAGGGCTTGGATCTGAAGATGATTTTGCCAGTCCTCAGAAGGTATTAGAATTTACATGTACAATCTTAAAATTTGATGAAAAATTAATACTGTTTGTAAGACAAAAGAAAGAGAGAAAAAGATGTCTCTGGAGTTTTATGATATAAACACAGTCTTTTCAGAATTTTAATAAATTTATATTGATGGAGGTTAAAAAGTTGGAATTTCACTGGTAAAGTCATTATTCTCTTGTAAAAAAAACAACACCTTTTTATATGCCCGAAAGAATTTCGGGCATATTATGTTATACCCCTTGGCCTCCGTTTGCCTGTCCGTCCGTCCGTTAGCAATTTGGTTTCCGGAGCACACCTTAATTTCCATTTCATAAGATGATTATCCATATTGGGTAGAAGACCCTATTGATTTTGGGGTCACAAGGGCAAAGGTCAAGGTTACTTTCACCTTAAAGCTGAAAACAGTTTCGGGAGCATAACTTAAGTTCCGCAGGGCCCACAGTGTTCAAACTTCATAGGATGATTGTCCATATTTGGTCGAAGACCCCTATTGATTTTGGGGTCACAAAGTGACAGTCAATGTTCAAAGTCACTTTTTAAAACTGAAAACAGTTTCTGGAGCATAACTGAAGGCCTTTTTGCCCACAATATTCAAACTTCATAAGATGATTGTCCATATTGGGTGGAAGACCCCATTGATTTTGGGGTCACAAGGTCAAAGGTCAAGGTCACTATTACTTTGAAACTGAAAACAGTTTCCGGAGCATAACTTAATTTCTATTTGGCCCACAGTGTTTCAAACTTCATAGGCTGAATGTCCATATTGGGTAGGAGACCCCTATTGATTTTGGGGTCACAAGGTCAAAGGTCAAAGTCACTATTACCTTAAAACTGAAAACAGTTTCCGGAGCATAACTTAAGATCCATTTGGCCCACAATATTCAAACTTCATAGGATGATTGTCCATATTGGGAAGGAGACCCCTATTGATTTTGTGGTCACACGGTCAAAGGTCAAGGTCACTATTACTTTAAAACTGAAAACAGTTTCCGGAGCATAACTTAATTTCCATTTGGCCCACAATATTCAAACTTCATAGGATGATTGTCCATATTGGGAAGGAGACCCCTATTGATTTTGTGGTCACACGGTCAAATGTCAAGGTCACTATTACTTTAAAACTGAAAACAGTTTCCGGAGCATAACTTAATTTCTATTTGGCCCACAATATTCAAACTTTATAGGAGGATTGCTATTGGAAGGAGGTAATACTTTATTTAATTTATGTAATGTCTTACAAATGCTTCATCCTTAATATAAAAAAAAAAACACTTTCGGGCATATAATGCTCCGCCTAGTGGTGCTCTTGTTTTTAATTTTTATGATAAAATTTTTTTTTGTCAGACTTTACACTCACAATCCTACAAATATGAACATAGGCTCAGGATAATTTGTGTGTAACAAGGTTTTGTTATAATCTAACACACCACAAAAATAAAGGTAGGCTCAGGATAATTTGTATGTAACAAGTTTATCATATAATGTAACAAGGTTGATTTAAAGAAGAGACATCTGATCAAGCACGTGTTTGCTGGAGCAGACGGTACCATACTGCTCACTACAACGGGGAGAGTACTTGCATGTGGTAGTAACGAGAATAATAAACTTGGCTTTAACTCAGAAACATCGGGACTGAAAAAACATAAAGCAAAGGTATGAATGAATACTGTTTGATAACTAAATTGATTTGCATGTTAGAAGTAAAATAAAAAGTTTGGAAATATTAAATGTGATAAATTTGCAAGCTGAACATTTCAAGCAAGGCTTTTACATACAAATGTTTTTCTTTTTCTGTCCATTCTAAGTCTTTAATCCTATACAAGTCAGTATGTTACAGAGAAACATAGATTTAGTTCAAGTAGAGCCTCAACCTACAATCCAATTTTTGCGGAAAGCACTTAAAACCTTTAGACCCTCAGTGATTGGTTGTTTTTAATGTTAACAATATATGTATGTTTTAAAAAATTTAAGATATTAAGATGATACATGTATCCATAGAATACTTGAATAAATGTAAAAGTTTTCTGTTTTTAGGTGTATGACATACCATGTAAATTGAACTTTACTCTAGTCAGACCTTTAATGAGACTTAATGTTGTCTCCTGCAAAGGGGCAAGTAACTCTCTGATAGAGGGATTGAGACAATTTTGATAAAAAAAGAGGAAACATTTTATTTGGGAAAATTTAAACTCAATA